CACTGTATTATTGAAGATACAGAGAGTCAAAGTAGAGAATTTTTATAACTTGTTGGTCAGGTGACAATACATCTGAAGTTTTGAAGTAGTTTTTTTTTGGAATAAAAGACCTAAAACTTAGATAACATAAAACTTTGAATCATAACATAGATTATAATGTTAAGTTAATTCACCTAAATTGATAGTAAAGGTGTTTAAATTTTGAATGTAACACTGTGACTTGTGCAGAAAAGTGTTTAAAGGGGGTACCCCCTGGTTAAAGGGTTAAGCGACAGAATGCTAGAAAAGTCTGTTTGTCCTTCTATAATAATATAAAAATATTCTTGTCTTCTGGGCCTATCCTACAAAACAGAAAAAAGTACAATAACGTAAGATTTTAGTTTCTTCTGCAACTTCCACAGGAAATGCTAGGAAATCAAAAGTAAGCTAGTTATTAAATAAAAATATTACAAGTTATTATATGAAAACTTGAAAAATCTAACTAGTATTTATTTTAAATTTTACAAAATGTATGTTATTCTGAAAACACTATATCCATAGGTGTTTTCCAGTCAAAATACATACTTAACACTACAATAACACTGGGAACCTGATCTTGTTTAGGAATAGCATACATTTCATTTTACATGTAAACTATACACATATAGTCATCCTTGAACTGACACTAGTAATGTAATATTGTTTATTAACTTATAATACATTTGCATGTGTGAGTTAAAGAGATATGTAACTTATGTATATAGATTTGATTCGAGGTTCAGATGTACATATTTTCAAATATTTGCATGTCTTTGTTAAACTTCTACATTTCAGAACTTGCATGGCTTCATAGAAATACACCCACTGTTTTTCTAGCAAAAGACCAAACAATGTGAAGAAAAACACCTTATCCAATGGACAAAGTATAAAGGCAAGACTGGACATCCATCAAAAAAACCTGGTCGCTCCATCAATATGAAATATGAATTCTACACCCTATAATGTTCTACACTTACTTGGATAATGTTTCCTAATACCAACACACTGACGTACCACATTTTTATGGGTGTTCAAAAATAATCTATTTAAAAACATCATGATTCCAACTATGTCTATTTTCGTTCATACCTATTACTACATGTACTATGTAACTTTATTGAATACATATACCAATTCTAAATATTGACAGAGTCTGAAAAGAATCTTGCTCAAGACATTTACATAGATTTAAAGTTAAAGTATGTTATTTAATTACCCAAAAAATTGTGTGTGTGTGTGTGTGTGTGTGTGTGTGTGT